GTTCTGCAGCACCTCCCACCCTGCCCTGGCCTGCCCTGGCCTGCCCTGGCTCCCCCTGGGTGCAGATGGGCCAGCTCAGCCCCCGCTCCCACCCTGGAATCTCTGAACTGGCCCCCACACGCCTGCCCATTGCACGCCAGAAAATAAAAACAAGCATCGATAAATTCACTTGTCCCCTTCCCCCAGCCCCTCCAGGGGTCAGCGGCCAGGCAGCCGCCCCACCCCCACACACCACCTTCCTTTCAGCTCTTTGTTTGCGGGTGACTCAGAGCTGCCTCCTAGCAGGCTGGTGCTCATTTAGGGAAGGAAAATTCAGTGGCTCACATAAAAATTGCTTTATTAAAGTGCAAAAATATTCCACCAACTGTATTCCCACCATCTGTTTTGCTTGTAATTCTTCAGAAAAGCGCAGTTCTCTGTGCCTTCTTGGCCTTTGTCCTTTAAAAGCTGCCAGAGGCGACTCACCGCCGCCCTGACCTTGCGTTGCTGCTGGTTAATGGGGCCCTCTGCTCGCCCGCACGTCCCCTGCACGCAGGCCTGGCAGGCAGGCAGGCCGACAAGCTGCTCTGGGCGGCTGTGCAGCTTCGTGAAGACTGGAGCCGGCTCCCAGCGGTCTGGGGCAGAGGGATCAGCAGCCAGGGATGGGAGACCGGGTCCCAGCCCTAGTTCAGACACCCACGAGGGACTCCACTCCGCCAAGCCTCAGTGTGACATCTGGAGAATGGGGAGAGCCCACCTCCCACAAAGGCTCTGAGACTCTCCCCATTCTCCTTTCCCAGCACCCCATCCGACACTCTGAACTTCTCCGGGACCTACGCCCAACACCCCGTTCCTTCACCAGCACAGTGCCCTCTGCCCGCAATGCTCCTTCTCTTCCCCGACGCACGAACTCTTACCCTCCTGCAGCACCCCTGAAATGATGAAATGACCCGCCTTCCTCACCAGGTGACACCGTTGGTGCTGCATTTCCCCAGTCTATTATAATGTAACCCCCGGGATGCTCCACTCCCACAGGAGTCCGCTCCTCGAATAGGGTCTGGGGTCTGTCCCACTCACGGCAGAACTCCAGCTCCCCGCTAAGTGCTCGGCACATGGTGGCTGGGCGGGAGCATCGTGGGGGAGAGCAGGTACAGGCTGAGTCAGGCCTTGGCTGGGTAGCTGTGAGCAGTTCTGTTCGCCCTCTTCTCTGGGCCGTCTCTACAAAGCTAGCACCTTCCCCGTGGAGATGCTGGGAGGGTCCATACATCAACACCATAAACACTTGGTAGGGGTCGACAGGGGTGTAGTGGTTAAGGCGCTGGACTCCTACATGGTCGACCGCAGTTCGAGTCCCAGACCCGGTGCCTTTAAACTCACACGGGGCAGGTGCGTGCATGTCCAGAAGCAAGAGGAGAGTGGGGGAGAAGAGATTGTGGTGTGGCCATTCCTCCTGGGGAGGGGGGTTCTCACTTTCTGTCTCTCTGTCTCTGTCTCTCCAGCAAGTGCACACGCCCTATAGCAAATTTCTCTTTAAAAAAAAGAAAGAAAAGTAAGAGCGCCTGGCACGGCGGGGGCACGTCATACGTGGTTCCTGTCGGCACCCACAAGCTGGCCTTTGGGGCCTGCAGGACGGCCCCGTACCCAGGCACTGGCAGTGACACGAGCTGAGGGTGATGATGGTGGGCCAGGCAGGGCTCCTGTCCCGGGAAGAAGGGCTGTGCCTCCCCCCAGTGCTGGGGCTCCAGGCCACACCCCGCCTGAGAGACAGGGACCGAGCCCAGGAGACACCACTGCTGACCGCCTGCCCAGAGCTCCCAGGCCCGTCCCTGGGAGCCAGCCCTCCCTGGTCAGGAGTGGAGGGAGCAGGACTCTGAGCTGCAGGCGGTGAGGACAGGATGGGAATCTGTGAATGTGACTATTCGGAGATGGGTTATTTGTGGCACTTCAGCCAGGCTGGGCGATATTCACGGCGCTGCTCTCGGGCTCAGGTGTCTCCTTGTCAACTGGACGTTCTGTACCCCGAAAAGGCCACGTCTCTTGCTCTCAAGGTTCGTCCGTAGTTGGCACTCCCGGATCCCACCCCACCCTCCTTCCCAGGACTGCGGATTGTGAGAACGGAGGAGCGGAGCTTGATAGGAACATACTGTGGCCAGGGGCAGCTGGTGTCACGCAAAGCTGCAACGCTCTGTGTCGCATGGGAAGGTCCCAGGTTTGTGTCCAGAGACCCCTGAGCACGTTGGGAGTGTGTGTAGCCACGATCCAGGGCTGGCCGAAGCTGGCCGTGGACCGTGGTATAGGGACATTGTTGAGGGTGCTGTCTCTGTCTCTGTCTCTCTTGCCCATGGGAGAAATAAATAAACATAAAGGAAAAGAAGGCTAGTCAGTGGTATGACAGTTAAGGTGACTGTGCCCTAAAAGGCTGACTGCATGGTTTGAGTCCCAGACCCAGCAGCTTGAAAAACATGCCAGGCGCATGTGTATACATGCCCCAATCCCAAGAGGAGAGTGGCAGAGAAGCGTTGCAGTTGGCCATTCCCCGGGGAGGGGGGTGGTGGTGGTGGTTATGTCTCACTTTCCCTCTCTCTCTTAAGTGAGCACACATACCCTGTAGCACATTTTTTAAGAGAAAGAAAAGAAATATTTCTGACTTGATAGAGAAAACCCAGAACAAGTGTGGCTGGTCAGGAAGGAGAGAGAGTCTCTGTGGGAGGAGACAATGGACGGAGTGTGCCCGGCCTCCCAGCCTTCCTGCCCTGTGCCCGCCTGCCCCGG